ATATATTTTTTTCTTTTTTTCGGTATCTTTTCCAAATTGACAAACTTTTTCATAAAGTGCCTTAGCTTTGATACATTCCATTTTATCAACGGACGCAGACGTTGATGTATTCTGAGTCTCAGAAGTGTCACCACTACGGCTTTCATTATCTTCATTTTCTTCATGCATGTTTCCTTTACTTAGAGCAATCACGAGAGCTGAACTTGTCCACGTCATATTATAACATTCAATGACCAATGACACGAACTGATCTATGATTGAAGCTGTCCCCGGGTACTTTAACCAAAAGTTTTGAACAACAATAAGAATAATTGCCTCGAGGAAAATTATAAACGGAAAGTAAGCTACAAACCAGTGAACCGCCGTGCGACCACACACTGTCTCAACGTAATCGTACAGCCGTCTGTCTGGTAATTTCAGCAGCATTGTCGACTTGCTACCTAGATGTATACATTAGAATTATAATAGTTGAGTTGACGGTTTTGACCGCCATTTTGTTTGGGTAGGCAAAATGTCGCAAAATAACAAGGATACGGTGTGAAATCGATGTCAAATAATTCCAGTTGAATTACTATTCTAAAAGAATCATTAATTTCAAACGTTAGATACTTCGAAAATGACTTAACTGGCGAGTTTTGAAGAAATTAGTTGATCTAGGGTGCGAGTGAAGTGATTTTTAGTTTCCCATACATTTCTTTGTATTTTTCACGCGCGTCACGCGCCGATGACCCAAGAAATTACTTGGTGTTTTGAGAGACTTTGCCTACCTAAACAAAATGGTTAAAAACCGTCACTTGATCTATTAGCAAATACGGTATGCCACAAAAAAATCATCTCTATTTGATTTCACTAATTTCCGCGATTACCTTGACAAACGCCGCTGTGATTAAAGCTCTGATTATGGCTTAAGCTACAGTCAATAGCAGGGACGCAGACCAGGTCCCTCTGTGTAGCTTGCATTACCCCTGCTAGTACGGCCATCATCAACAAGGCTGTAGCAATGTAATCAGTAAAGGTATCCCACCAAGGCTTGATGAATTTATGGTCAGGGTTGATTACTTGAAAGCGCTGTAGCTGGTCAACTGGAAACATTGTGCAATACTGACTTAAAATCTGTGAAAAGAAGCGGTTGTAATATCAGTCTTAAACCTGCAAATGAGGGGAGGAAGCAGCCTCTTTTTGGAAACAGAAAGAGAAGTCAGTTGCAAAAATTGCTGCTTTAGAAGAGCAGTGATATAATTCATATTTGCGGAATGAATATATCTTAAGTTAGCTCTTCTCAACATTACTCAAAATCGCATCAGTGTGACTTCAAAAAGCAGTCTAATCATATTTTTAACGATGCGTTTATAATCGTTGTTAAACGATATGGTAACTTCTTTTTGCTAATATGGGGTGGGGTGAGCACTGATTAAAATTGCCTGTAATTTGCGACGCCAGTTGTTTGAAATGCGGCAGGATTGTTCTCTTTTGATCGTTCTCAAGGGCCATACTCAGTGCTAAAACTACCTGCATTTTCATTTTAGTCGATTAGAATAATATATGAACACAGTTTTGTCAGATTTTTGCCTCCCTCTTTTTTTTGATTCTTCCGTTTTTTTTTTCTGTATTTGGAAATCGGTATTACTTTGTAAGGAATGCGAGTAAGGGAATACGGCTTTTTCCAGTTCAAAGCGAACAACCGCTGATTTAGTCGACAACAGTCTCTCATGCGCAGAGACCTGACCAAAAACAAAAGAAAGCATGAAAACGTGTTGTCATTGCAATAACACTATAAATTTTGCGTTTTCTCCGATTCTGTATTCCCAGGGGGTTGAAACTCTTGCTCAGGTTAAGCCTCGAATCGGAGAAGATTCAAATTTCTAGAGCTGTTGTAATGTCAACATTTTTTCGTGTTTTCTTTTGTTCTCTACGCAAGTGAGTCTGTTGTCTACTAAAACAGCGGTCGTTCGCATTGAGCTGGAAAAAGGCTTATTTCTCCGCTGAAACAACACTGCACCTCTACTGAGTTTTTGTGTTGTAGAAAGGTTTCATTCCCGATTATAGCCAAAAACCTTCAAGAAAGGTTTAGATTTTTATTTTGCACGACCACATATGGCGTAGTCACGAAGCTGTTTGACAACATTTTGTAAAGCGATTGTATTGACTTGTTTGTGTGCTTCACTGCGACGCGGTGACATGGAACTCCGATTCATCGACCTTTTTTAGCTTTTTTGAAATAATCATTTACAGTCTTTACAGAAAATCCATTGACCATGACTACCACCTGAGCATCTACTCGTTGAGTATGGGAGCTTAATTAACATAAATTTGCATAATGAGGACCACAAAACTGCCCAACCTTAATAGCAATGTTTGTGTGAAATTAGTAACTTTGAAGAACTATATCTTCTACTCACAAAAGACTTTTGAAATTAGTAATTTTACCAATTTCCACTTGAATTTACGAATTTACGTATAAGGAGAGGTTTAGACACTTTAGGTGGATCCCTCTACACTCTCCCCCTCTTCCCCCTCCCCCAAAAAAGACGCATTAATGTGATTTCGATGACCACTTGTTCAAGTGTTGTTTTACCACGTTATCGCAGATGGAAATGCGCGGATAAGCTAGCCTAATATGCTCCCAAGCTTGTCTATAGAATACGTGAGGAAAGCTAACACGTCAAATAGTTATTTTCACAATTCAGATATTTTTTACCTTACAAGACTCAATGTTAGATGTTAGTGCTTCTTCAGTGCCGAGGCTTCTACAAACACCGTTTCCCAAACTCAAGAAGGAAAGTTTTTAACTTATAATTATACAACCAAGCCTAAAATTCCGAGTCTAATCTAAACAGTTGGATATCCAGGTTGTCATAGTGACTTTGTTGTATTTTGGTTTTTATGTAACAGCGTGTACGTTGACCATTGGTCACCATTGATCGGAGACAAAATAGGTATAATTGTAGGGCTTAGTACATTTGCATTTAGATGTCAAAACAAGCTTGAATGAAGTGAACTGATAAAATATCAAAGACGAATTTCTCGTTTTTTTTATATTTGTTGAATTTCTCGTTGTTGAAACCATCAAAATAAATATTAGGTCCATTCATAAAATGATATACAAACAGTTTCTTCGCAGCCCGACACTCGCAGTTGAAACATTTTAATAATTTAAAAATTCTTTACAAGATATGAAGATATCTTATATAATAAAACTGTATGAAATATACATGATGAGACGACAGCGTCTGTTCTTCTAAATAACTATTATTGTACGAGAGGGATTTTGAGCTACATTGTTGACATATCTCACAAGCAAATGTGGCGCCCTTCCTTCCTTCAAAAAATAAATTTAAAAATAATCTTGTTACTGGCAAAGGTTATGGTCAAAACCCGGCTTATATTTTTTTCAGTTAGGAAATTATTATAGAAACTTACATGAGAAGCATAAACTTATTTGGGAGACCTCCTAAGTTAAGAATGATAATAAAACATTATTTAGAATAAAAACTCGATACAAGAAAAAAAGTATTTCAGCGCAAACTATTTTGGCATAAAATGCAGTTTTTACAATTATCATGTAGTTCAAGTTAGTACTATTATTATTTGCATACATGGTCCACCAGCATCCCTTTCGAGCTTTTGCTCATGTTTGAAAATAAAAATATAAGCAAAAACTTAGTAGCGATAGTCCGTAGTAACGAGAGTTACTTTCAGTCATTTTCTTTGTATTTTTTGCCGGGGATTCAGTATTTTATTGTCCGCAATATCGAGGTGTCCGTTATAGCGGGGTGTCCGTAAGACGAGAGTTGACTGTATGTTGATAACTATGTTATGGACGAAATTGCGCACGCTCGTCAAATCAATCACATCAAAACGGAAATGACGTATAATTTCTAATCATGACGTTACAGTCGAAGACGTGCGACAATTACCTAATTAACGTAGCTAATKATCGTTTTTGTTTGCTAACTCCAGCGATGGGTTAGTTAAAAAACTCTCGTCCGAAATGAGCGAGRATTTAGAGCAACTTGGAGCGCTTTTTTGCGCTTTTTTCATAGTTTTCGCGTACGATTTTGCACTTTGGGTTTATCAAATCACAAGTAAGTAATTTCTGAAGTTTGTTTCGAACGTTTCATCGAGAGCATGCGTTGATCAAGTGTTCTTTTTTTTTCTTTCAGGTTTCGTAATTTTTYACTTGATTGATACTCTACTATTAAATGTTATCAGGTTCAAGAATGTGTGGAATTTGCACATTTTCGTGGCTGCTWYCGCAGCGTTTTTTAYTACTTGGTAAGTGTGGAAGTTAAGCGGGGATAGGATTTTGCGCGCTTGAYTTAAGTTCCGCAACCAACGTAGAAAATACAATGAAAATTACAAGAGTAAAGTTGGTTACCTTAAAAGGGATTAAGAAATAAAATAACACGAAAATTGAGAGAGAAAGGAATGGGAAATGGAATGGAATAAAAAGAGAAAAAAATGGGAAAATGACAGAAAGAGACAAATAAAGAAAAAACGAGAGGATTTGGCAGTAGGTTCTTAAAGAGGAAAAATGAGAGATTCAGAGAAAAAGGAAATGAGATGGAAAGAATAAACTAAGGAAAAAAGACAAGACAAAGAAATACAAAAAATTGAAATGACTTAAAAATGGGACGAGAATAAGGAAAGAAAAGAAGGTAATTGGATATACGAAAAGTAAATTTATGAAGATTAGTAATGAATCTTTCAAAAGAGGAAAAGCAAGGGACAATTTACCGTGTTTGTAATTACAAATAAATAAAAATCGAAATGATGCATTTCCCTCATTTGTGTTTATTTTCTTTTGTAGGTTTGTATTGTCCCTCAATTCACCTGAACTAGACCTTGTAGAAAATGTTGATGACAACTTTCTTCTTCTACAACAAGTCTCAGAGAATTCTTTGCTGTTTGGTGACTTGAACAATGAGGACAATAATGACACTGCACAAAATGGTAACAAGGGTTTGATTGGCTTATTTTCTCCTACTTTCCTTTCTTCCTCTCATCCTCCTGTTATCCCTTTCATTGCATTGCTTCTATCTGTCTTTCTTTCCAAGCTTTCCACCTGCCTCCCTCTCTTCCCTCCTCCTGTTACTTTTATCTTTTCTTTCTTCTTTTCTCATTTTGTCGTTTATAACCCCATTCTCCTTTAATTCCTTCCTTATCTTGCTTCCTTCTGTGTTTCCTGTCTTCTTTTCACTCTTCCTTCCTTTTTCCTTGTATCTCATCCAGCATTTATTTTTTTGTCTTTCCTTTCTTCCTTTCATCCTGTCTTTCATCTTAATCCCCTTTCTCCTGCTACCTCTTCCTTCATTGCCTGCTTCTTTCTTTTTATCCTCCCTTTCCTCCTTCCTTCCTATTCCCTCCACTTCTTCTTTTATTCCTTCCTAAATTCGTTACTTC